ATGACAGTAGCTCATTCTGAGAAACTTCACTTTTCACAAATGCATCAAGAAGAAATGACTAAAACTGCCAAGAGAAATTAAAGTCTTGCTGTCGGCAGTATAGCAAGCCTTCTATTTACAAAATGAAAAAAAGAAGTTTTAAACACTTTCTACTTGTGGTTCAAGAATCACTAAAAAAAAAATCAGATTTAATAAGAAGCTGCACCTGTATGCTCTTACTTTGAAGTTCATAATTTTCTTAGATGCTGAGAAGACTTACAACCTGTGATTACATAAGAATTTACACACATGCTTCCTCTAGCACTTTCCTTCTCAAATCTAAAAAGGCAATTAAGTGGATGCGAGGAAGGATATAAATCTAAATTAAAAAGAAAAAGACTTCTGCTGACTTATATTACTGTAAAGATTTTTGTTTGCTCAATAGTAATCATTAAAGTACAAAGAAATTGAATTTTAAATGGCTCAACTGCTTTATTTCAGACAAAATAAATTCCTTTTCTTGGAGTCTAACTACTCAGACTGATTAATTTAAAAAATATTTAAAAATGCATCTTACCAGCCTACTCTTTCATATGGTAGAAATAGATTTAAAAAAAAACAAACAAAACCCCAAAACCCAGAAACCAAAAGAAATCTGTCCCCTCTGATTTTGAAGAGCCGATTTCTTTAGCAGTATGGTTGCTACGGAGACATTGGTCTTTTGGAGACCGACACAGTAGAATCAAAATTTTGGAGCTTGTCCAATTCCTTCACTTCATACCCAAGAACACTGCAAGAGCAAGAGATTAACAACACCCTCAACCATCCCCAACTAGTGACTAAAATACCCACAACTAGATCTGATCAGGTCCCTGGTAACCTGGACAGTCATGCCAGCTACCCAGCAGAGCTGAATGCAGAGTTTATTTCATCAGTTATCAGCTCAGGGTATTTTTTTTTTTTTTAAACACAGAGAAAGAGCCTCAAGGAATCTTTGCTGGCAGTAAATCTCTCTTATACAGTTCCTTTAATCTTTGCCATGTCACAAGCCCTGTCCCTAAGTCTCACCTCCAATGATCACATTTGCCTCCCTAATAAATGACTTATCTCTAATTACTTGGCTAGAAATAATTTTGCCCTTTGCCTATCAGTTACTTTTGTCTGGTTATCAAAAAGGCGCAACAGCCTCGTGATTCACTGACTCTTGTTTGTATGAAAGATGCTTCCTAGTCCCTCCATCACTGACAATCCAGGTGCCTTGACTTCAAAACAGCAGGACAACAGCCCGGGGCAAAGGACTGCAGGAGCTCTTAAGTGGCTGCCCTGGCTCTCCCACTCACTCTGCTGCTGCTCCCGGCATGCCCTGTGCCTGATAATTAAATAAAACCTACAGGTAATTAAATAAAACCTACAGGTCAAGTGTCCCAGGGGCAGTTAGTCGGTCTCCCTGAGCTGAGAACAAAGACATTTTCTGGGCTCCTTCTGGCCATTGCTAAGAGGCTGATAAATTATTATGAGCTCAAGTGCCATGGTGAGAGCTGGTCCTGATGCATGAGCTGAACCATGTTTCAAAATTTCCTGTTTAAACTTAGTTCTCTATTCTCCAAAAACAGTTAAAATCAAGCAGTTAACTCTGCAATGCAGTTTTACTTGGCCAAGTGTTTCCAAGTTTCAAAGAAAGATAAAAACAAAAACTTGCAACAATTCTTCATCCGTAAATATTTAATGACTAAATGAGTCACCTTGCAAACACCATCTAACTGTCGTAATCATCAGGCCCGAGACTGCAGTCAGGAACCTTGGATTTTAATTTCAGCTCCAGAAGCTGGTGGGTGACTGAATGGCTTTGCCTCATTTCCTATGAGCAACACTCCCAGAATGTAAAGATTTTCACCAGACAAGAGGGGCTTTCTGTGCTTAGATAAATCCCAACATTAATAGTTCTCTATAGGTCTAAGTGCGCAACAAAAAAGTGAATGCAACAGTTTAGTAGTTCTCTTCTAATAGAGGGTTGCAGTGATTATTTTCACTTAGGCTACTGGGAAAGCAGTACTACCTATGGAGACCACTGCCTGCACAGAGGGAGGAGGCCGGTGGGGAACGACCCGCTGTGGCTCTGACATGACCTCTGCAATTCAAAGAAAAGGGAAAACAAGGGCCTCAATGACACAGTCTGTCTAGTTAATGTCACGAAAAAGAACACTTTCTATTTTGACACGTTTTCAAACTGTTTTCTGTATCTCTTTGGTCACTAGATATTAAACCCGGTTCCCCCACTTCAGACACCTCGGTTCACACGGTCATGGCCCCGCAGTTGTGTAGACAGTTCCTATAAAGGAAAGGAATGAGTCGAGTTGACAGAAACCAACACAACAGCGTGAGGGAAGCCTGCTTCAGTTTATTGGCATTGTCAATCTATCAACGAGACAGTATTTCCCCCCCATGAAGTGAGATCGTTTTCAATCTGCCATAACATGTGCCCACACGGCTTCACCTTGAAAATGTGGCATCTCAAGCTTTAGTCAGGGTCTAGGAGGAAAAAAGAAAATGCAAAAGTTGCTAGTCCTCTGTGTTTTCTTAAAAACCCAACATGAATGGGGAAAATAACTTCCTTACAATGAATTATATAACTGTGGCTTCAATTCACACAGTTGGTGAGGAACATTGGCTCTCCGCAGGGCCTTAGCTGAACAGGCACTTACTTCCCTGCTAAGTAAAACCAAACACTTGCCCAGCAATAAAGAAACTAATTTGCCTTTAAAAGACACTAAAATTCCCCTGTGATGATGGGGTGGGGGCCAAATCCCCTGCAGGACATGTGGAGAGTGGCCAATGTTTTGTTTATGGAGCTGGACACTACTTCCTGACCCAAGGATATCACAAGGTCAAGGGAGTGAGATGCAGGGTTTGGTTAGATTATGCTGCAGAGAAGGGCTGTGATTTTGTCAGTTAGCTCACTGTTAAAAACAAAACAATCCAACATAAAGCCAGGTCTCCTCACTCAGAATTATGAGGACAGAGAGCCCCCAGAAAAAGGGCTAAATTCAAAACACTGCATCTCCAGACTCATAATAAAATATTTACTAATTCAAAATGAAAAGTGCTTAGGGGAGACAGTTCCAATAAGTAAAATTGCTCATAACCACAAGCTGCCAAAGAATTAATATTTATCACATCTCCCTGTTATTGTGGGTCAGAAGCTTTTTAAAAGCAAAACAAGAAAACTAAATCTAAAAAACATCTCTCTGATAATCTGCCTTGCTTATCTTTGAAATAACAATGTCAAAAAAGTGGTTTAGAGAGATCACTTTAGTAGTTTGGAGCACAAAAGTCCGACTGGTCAAAAACGGTCTTGTCACCTACAGAAAGTAACTTTACGTTGCCAACACCTTTGGAGAAGTGCAATGAGCCAAACCCTCTGAGAGCACAGTGCACTTGGCAAAGCAGGGCTCACTGCAGGGTCTTGCAGATTTTCCTGCTTGATAAATGGCAGGACTTTCACCTGCACTTGCAGCCCTTCTGTTCAGGTAGGATTTGCGAGAACATTAGCAGGTGTGGGGGAAACAAAAACACAAAGGACTGTAATCTTTCATACTCCTGAACTGTTATGTAATGCCAACTGCAATTACAGAAACGGGGAGTTTATCCTCCAGGTTATTTGACTTGGTGAAAATGAAACAGGTTTAATTAAAATGAGATGGCTCTCTACCTAAGCATTGCTAAATGAGCTGAAAAATCAACGTGCCAATTACTTCTGTTTGTCAGTGCTTCAAACAGCATTCTTTGATTTTGCCACACGACTGCTGTAACCTATATGCTTTAGCCCTTTGCGGTCGTATTAAATTTGGACATGGGTGTCGTACTGGTCGGAATTAAGAGCTTTCAGAGAAATTATGAACTGATACATGAATGAATAGAGTTAAGATTCGTACGGTTCCTTGCTGTGGTGGCTGAGAGCAGACATACAACTGGAACGGTAAAAAAGCTTTGGTGGCTGAGAGTAGACAAACGACCGCAAAGGGTTAAATTATTATCCCACTAACTTCTACATGTACTGACTTACCAAAAATGGGACAAATTCAAAAGTAAAATTACTTTGACTTTTTCAAGTACTCTAAATATTTAAGATACAACTGTTCTCAGTCAGAACTTACACATTATTCCTTCTTCACTTTCACAATTTTTACACTGCTGCCGGAAGTCTTCTCGGCGCTTGCTCTGAATTCACTTTTCAGTGCATCCCTCACTGCTTTTGCACAGATCTGGGAGTATCGGATGTAGCTAGGAGAAAATGAGAGATGATATAAAGTTAATTATCAAGGATCCAGCCAGACTGGTTGTGAAACTGGTTTCCTTTTTCTTCCTATATTTTTAATTTTAGTTTGATGGTGCATTATTATGAAACTGGGTTTAGAAATGACAATGCTAAAAACAATCTATAAAAAGACCAAGAAGAAATGTACCAGAGTCTTAACTGGTGTTAGGATGGGTGGGCTTTAGTTTTTCTACTCCGTATTTTTTCCTTGCTTTAATATATATTAATTTAAAATAAAACATGCATAGATATTTTTTAAAAATCCCACAGCACAGGAAATAGACCAAAATGTTAAATGGAGTCTATAACATGAGGGATTTTCCCCAAATTCTCTACTTAAAACTTTTTCTTATATTATTTTTACAAGGTAAAGGATATATAATTAAAAGAGAAAAAAAGCTATTTTGAACGAAAAGTTCTTCCTCTGATTAACTATTTAAAGGTTTCACTGAGAATATTGGATTCTGTTTCACAATTCTGCCATGAAACATACTTCCCAATCAAGGTTCCCAAATTAAACTGCAATGGTCCTTTGAGAGCATCATCAATTCTAGCAAAATATCTAACCGCCTGCTTCTTCTTTGGTGGATGGACTCCCATCAACATCTTATTTTCCAGAAGATGTCAACTCACTTTTTACACTTTCTGAAAACAGGAAGGGGGGGAGGGTAGGGGGAGAGTGGTGCTGTCTAGTTTCTCATGTTTTCAGATGTGGGTTTTTTTTTTTTTGGCCAAGAGGTAGGCGTTCCAATGCCTGCTTCCACACTTACTGGGTGACCTTCAGGCTGTTCAATCTTTCAGCTCGTTTATTCACCCGGAAAACAATAGAATAAAATAGACGAATAATTATTGCCCCACAGGTGGGTGGGAGGAGGAGAGACAAAGTGTGAAAAGCATGAGTCACTGCATCCCTCACATAGTAGGTGCTTAATAAAGGGTACCCATTCCTGGACCTATCGTCCCAATTCTGCAAAACTCTGCTTGACCTCACAAGTCAAGAACTCTTGGGTTGCTCAGGTGTCCCACGGGCCTCTACCCACCACTAGAAGGTGCTACTTTATCCAGGCAGGTGAGGTGTGTCACCTGAAGAAGGTACTACGCTCGACTGGGTGACAGGCAGAGAAATCAGGTGTGACAGGTAGCACAGGAACCTAGACGGGTCTTTCCGTTACACTAGAAGCTATGTCCTCAAATGGGCTCCGTATCTTAGCGTCCATGAGCCGCCACTACCTATGCGCAGGGCTCTCTGTAGGTAAGAGCAACGGGAGTTAATTCAAAATAAAAAACAAGTGTGTCTCATTGTAAAGGGCCCCATTTTGATGCTGGTAAAACCAGAAAAGGCTGAGTGGTCACATCAAGAGAACTGTCCCCCATCCTTCCAGCTCCCAAGTTTTATGTCATTTGTCACTTGTACACCGCAGTGTCATGAGAAGGGCAAAGGCGTCCCTGAGATCCGCGGTCTCCCGCACGGCGTCGCGTTCGCCCGAGGCCTCGGTGTCGCGCCAGGTGCAGGGCTGCACCGCAAGCAGGCGCGCCGATTCTCGCGCGCGCGGCCCCCACGAG